AGAAAGCCTATACTGGATGGGCTGGAAACTGGGTGAAGAGTAGGAAAGGTCTGTTTCAACTTTAGGAAATGAGAATATGTTTTAAAATAGGCTAGCATAAGGGTAAATTTTGCTTTGGTAGCTTAATGTTATTATTTTATTATTATTATTATCTTTGTTTTTGATGGGCTGTATATGCTTCTGTGAAAGAAGAAGAGGGGAGGAAAGAAAAGGCTAGTACTTAGTTTAGCCTTTAAACAAAAGGTTTTAACAGAAAACAAAGATGCAGTATATATTATATATAGTATATGAAAGCAAGAACTACTGCCAGTTATATTCCAGTAGGGGGAACTAAAGATTCACCATCTAACACTGCTTTTGGAGCCAAGACCTATGTGTATTCCTGCAACCCACTGTCTAATATCAGTGCTAATATCAAATGCTTAATAACGTCTCTGTGATCACGCATGGCCTCAGCTTCAGTTTATGCACTAAAGTGACAGGCAGTATGCAAACATAAACCTTACACCTTAACCTTATCACCTTTGTCCCTTTTGGAGTTTGAGGTTTTTGCACATATTGTTCCCTTTTTGGATTTTTCTTTACTTGCCTTGCTCTTTTTTCTCCTAACTGAGCCTTTCTAACCTGTACATCTCACTTAAGATTATTTTCCCTCTTCCAATATATGGAAATATTACCTCAATATCTTCCTCTCATTGCTGTAGGTATAAATTTACACTCTGGGAACATTGTGTAAAGCTGCCTGATTTTTTTCTCGCCTTGTTCACACATATAACAAGAGCACGAACCACTTAGAAAGAGGATGATGATGGCAACCTAGCTTGCATAAATAGATTTAAAACCAAAGATAGGTATTTAGTTGTTTATACATTGCTGGTATGATACATATTTTCAAAGAAATCTGATGCAGTGGGCTGTAAGCTATGGAAACTTATACCACAGAAAATGTGTTATTCTGTAAGGTGTTAGATGAGGCTTTGTTGTTTGTATTTAAATACATTATTCAGAGACTGAAAACAAAGAGTAGGGAAACACAGAAGCTGCACAAAAATAAATAATGCATTTATTGTTGACCTAGTTTTGCAAATGCTGATACACACACAGTGTAATCCTTACTCTGAAGAAAGTCCCGTGTGATCAATGCAGGCTATCTTCAAATTGGCATGTACAATCATGGTATACATGAGAATTCCTAAAAAGTTTGTGAGTGGCTTAAAAGCCTAAGCAAGGCAATTCAATGCTATTATTTATAATTATTGTATGCTACCATACATGGCTACTTTTTTGCATAGGGTGATTACAATGTGCAGAGTTCAATATACTGTGTTCTTGTACACTCAGAAATCAGATGTCTATCTACTTTCAATTCTTGACAACATGCATGTTTGCCAAATTTGATTCAACCACACCCATAAGATTAATGTGTGATATGAGGCAGGGGATATGCCTGGTTCATAGTGATTAGAAACAATGCTATTCTCAATTTTGTCATGGGATCTCCATCTGGGGTATCCTAAGAAAGGATAGGGCATTTCAAATAGACTTCTGTGTATGTTTCTGTCTATAGCATCCATGGACAAAGATAAAAGGTTTTTGTTCTATAGATGTTTGTTCTTAGAAGGTCTGTGCTTACATGTTAACACGGCACGGGCAAACTTCGGCCCTTCGTGTGTTTTGAACGTCAATTCCCAGAAGTCCCAGTCAGCTTACCAACTGTGAGAGTTGAAGTCCAAAACAACTGGAGGGCTAAAGTTTTCTCAGGCCTGTGTTAACACAAATTAATAATTCAAATTCAACTTTGAAAAAAAAAACCAGAAAAGGCCACACAGAAGTAAGTGATGACCTGCTCCCAATGCTTGCCAGGTGTCCTAACAGCTAAATTCTACATTTCTTTGCTTATCTTGAGTGGAACTTGTACTTTATTACTTGCACACAGAAAAGTAGCCTTCATGTGGTACTTAAACACAAGTAAGATTTTCAGGCAGCCACAACATGGTATAGAAATGCAAGAATGTAGTGTAAAAAGGTCCAATTGAAGTTTCATTGCCCTCTCACCCACAGGATTCTGTTTGAGGGCAGGACACTGCGGCTCAACTATACCTTCCTTGGGTGGGACTAACTTCTGACTAAATATACATTAGACCAGATGGTCGGCCAAACCTGAAGGGGACTTGGACCATGTGTTTTCCTTCTCTCACCAGTAGCACCTTGCTCTTATCACCTAACTTCAATGGGGCTTTCCTCTGGTCCATCCCTGACACTTTCCTTTTCAGGAACGGATTTCACGGAAGTGAAATGGGAAGAGGTGGGGTGCATCTATGCTGTAGAAATAATACAGTTTGCATTGGGGTCCCCTGGCTTGACAGCAGTTCATGTGAAAAAGATCTTGGAGTCCTCAAGGACAACAGTTAAACATGAGCTTAAAAAGTCAATGTGATATTGGTTTCATAAATAGGAGTATAGTGTCTAGATCCAGGGAAGTTGTGCTACCCCTCTATTCTGCCTTTGTTAGAACACACCTGGAATATTGTGTCCAATTCTGGGCACTGCAGTTTAAGGGAGATGTTGACAAGTTGGAATGTGTCCAGAGGAGGGGTGATTAAAATGACAAAAGGGTCTGGAGAACAAGCCCTACGAGGAGCTGCTTAAAGAGCTGGACATATTTAGCCTAGAGAAGAGAAGGCTGAGAGAAGACATGTAGAAATATGTGAGGCGAAGTCATAGGAAGGAGGGAGCAGACTTTTCTGTTGCCCTGGAGACAAGGATGCAGAACAATGACTTCAAACTACAAGAAAGGAGATTCCACCTGAACATTGGGAAGAACTTCCTAACAGTGAGCACTGTTTAGCAGTGGAACTCTCTGCCCTGGAGTGTGGTGGAGGCTCCTTCCTTGAAGGCTTTTAAACAGGGGCTGGATGGAAGATAATTTTGCTCCCTCAGTGGCCCCTGCACTTTACCACTGTTCCTTGTCCTATAGATATAATGTTCTAACTCAGTGGTTCTCAACCTGTGGGTCCCCAGGTGTTTTGGCCCACAACCCCAGGAAAATCCAGCCTGTTTACCAGCTGTTAGGATTTCTGGGAGTTGAAGGCCAAAACATCTGGGGACCCACAGGTTGAGGACCACTGTTCTAAGAGATACTGCTCTTCTAGTCTGGGTTTATCATCTGGCTCTTACACATTTTCCAACTGCCTTGTCCTTACAACTTTATCACACAAGCCCCTGTCCACCCGAGTTTAGTATTTGATTACTTTTGTCAGGCTATTGGCTATTGTTGATATTATTTTATGCTGTTTATGATGTTGCTTTTAAAAATGTTATTGTGTTATGCTTTTATATCTTAATCTATGTTTGATCGTGCTTGTCCCCATGTAAGCTGCCCCGAATCCCTTCGGGGAGATGGTGACAGGATACAAAAATAAAGTTATTATTCTTAAGATTATGGCCATCTGTCAGGAGTGTTTTGAATGCAGTTCTCCTGCTTTTTGGCAGGGGGTTGGACTGGATGGCCCACGAGATCTCATCCAACTGTGTGATTCTATGACCCCACTTGAACTGCCATGGCTCAGGGCTGGGGGGTCCCTGTGAGTCGTATTTTGGCGAGGCCTTTCAGGCCTCATCACACTAGAATCATAGAATTGGAAGAGACCCTTAATCAAGAACAGGGGTCCTCAAGCTTTTTAAACAGAGGGTCAGGTCACAATCCCTCAAACTGTTGGAGTTTGAGGGATTATAATTTGAACATGAATGAATTCCTGTGCACACTGAACATATCTTATTTGTAGTGCAAAAATCCACTTAAAATCCGGTTTCTGCCTCCTGCAGAATTCTGGGCTTTGTAGTTTAAGGAGGAGCCTTTAACAGCCTCACTAAACTACAAATCCCAGAATTCTGCAGGAGGCAGAAACTGGATTTTAAGTGGATTTTTTCCCCTCTAGTGTGATGAAAAGACACAAAGGCCTTTACAAAACTAAAACCCCAAGCATCCCATAGCATTGAGCCATGGCGGTTCAAGTAAGGTCAGACAGCATTAGTTCTACAATGTAGACCAGGCATGGGCAAACTTTGGCCCTTCAGGTCATAGATTCATAGAGCTGGAATAGACTTCATGGGCCATCCAGTCCAACCCCTGCCAAGAAGCAGGAAAATTTGCATTCAAAGCACCCCCGACAGATGGCCATCCAGCCTCTGTTTAAAAGCTTCCAAAGAAGGAGCCTCCACCACACTCTGGGGCAGAGAGTTCCACTGCTGAACAGCTCTCACAGTCAGGAAGTTCTTGCTAATGTTCAGATGGAATCTCCATTCTTGTAGTTTGAAGCCATTGTTCCGCGCCCTAGTCTCCAGGGCAGCAGAAAACAAGCTTGTGTGACATCCTCTCACATATTTATACATGGCTATCATGTCTCCTCTCAGCCTTCTCTTCTTCAGGCTAAACATGCCCAGCTCTTTAAGCCACTCCTCATAGACTTGTTCTCCAGACCCTTGATCATTTTAGTCGCCCTCCTCTATACACATTCCAGTTTGTCAACATCCCTTCAATTGTGGTGCCCAGGATTGGACAAAGTATTCCAGGTGTGGTCTCATCAAGGCAGAATAGAGGGGTAACATGACTTCCCTGGACTTCCCTGGCCCTTTCCTTCTCTCTCCCCCCCCCCCCCTCAGCTGCTTAAGGAATGGTGGGAGTTGGAGCCCCAAACACCTGAAGGGACGAAGTTTGCCCATGCCTGATGTAGTAGGGAATAAGTAGGGAAGTGGGTGGGTAGGAGTGGTTCTACCTGCCCACTAAAGGGGGTGCAGAGAGGGGCAAGTGACCTAGAGCCAACAGCAGAGAGAGGGAAAGGGGGATTGGGAGGGCTGACTGCCTGGGCTGTTGCCCCTCCAATCCTCCCTCCGGTGCTTGGGGGGAGGCAGAGGAGGGAGGAGACCTGCCTGCTTCGCCTTCTTTCCTCCGCGCAGCATCATCTCAGGAGGGAGGGAGGGAGGGAAGGAAGGAAGGAAGGAAGGAAGGAAGGAGGCAGGTTGAGAGAAGGAGAGGACCAGCCGCCGGCTTGAGAGCGTGAGGGTTCTGCTCTCTAGACTCTCTCTGTGTCTCTGCCTGTCTCCCTCTGGGCGGGCGCTCTCCTTCTCCTCATCGTCGTCCTTCTCCCTCCTTTCCCAACTGCACGGCCAGCGGTGGAGGCAGCGCCTGCTTCAGCATCAGCAGCATCAGCAGCAAAGCGCCTGGCTCCCCATCGCTCGCTCGCTCCCCCCTCGCCTCGCCTCGCCCTCGCCTCGCCCTCCTCCTCTTCCTTCGGAGGCACTTTGGGAGTTCCTTGCTTCCCTCCTCGCTCCGGGAGGGCGTCGTCGTCTCCGTCGTCGGGGTCGGGTTTGGAGGGGGAAAGAAGAGGCGAGGCCAAGGAGGGGCTCCGGAGTCCCTCCTCTGGATGGAAGTTGAAGGGAAGCAGCAACTCGGCAGCTTGAAGTGATTTGGGGAGGAGGAGGAGGAGGAACAGCGGCGGAGTTCAGCCAAGCCCTGGGTTCTCTTCTTTTTCTTTCTCTCCTTCCTCCCCTCTTTCCCCACTTCGGAACTTTGAAGGAAAGCGCGCTTTCGAGGAAACCCAGACCCACTCCTTTGGCTTTTCTTTGGATTGCGACCAAGCCTAAGACGCGGTCCCCTTCGCGCCTCTGCCTTTCTTTGGACCGGAGGGGATTTCCATCGCCTCCCTCGCTCCCTTCCCTCCTCCCCTCCTTCTTCGCCGCATGGAGCTGCCAGGGTCCCGTCCAAGCTCTTCCTTCTCCACGTCTGCTTTGGAGTCGCCTTAGACGAGGAAAACACCCTCAACTTTGGGAACACGTCTTTGTTTCCGCCCTGCTTCTTCTTTTCATTTTGGGATTTGGATTGCCTTTGAATATGTGAACATGGGGCTGCTGCTGCTGACGCCACTCCTGCTCTTTGGCATCCTGCATTTCCATGTCGAGGGTGAGTTACAAGTGTTGTCCGGCTCTTCTGGCCAGGTCTCCGGGTGGCTTTCTTGGAAGAGAGAGCAAAGGAAGCAAGGAGATTAGAGCAGCCTTCTTATGTTTTGGCTGGAAATCCTGGATGCTGCTGCTGCTGAGCTTTTGACATGTTCAGAGAGTAGCAATGATGGTGATGTGTTGTTGAAGGCTTTCGTGGCCAGAATCAATGGGTTGCTTTGAGTTTTCCTGGCTGTTCCATGTTCCAGAAGCATTCTATCCTGACGTTTCACCCACATCTATGGCAGGTTGTTGGGTCTGTTGGAAACTAAGTAAGGGAGGTTTATATATCTGTGGAATGTCCAAGGTGGGGGAAAGATCTCTTGTCTGTTTAAGGTAGGTGTGAATGTTGCAATTGGCCATCTGGATTAGCATTTAATAGCCTTGCAGTTTCAAAGCCTGCCTGGTTTCTTCCATGAGGAATCCTTTGTTGGGAGGTGTTAGCTGGTCCTGATTGATTCTTGCCCAGAATTCCCCTACTTTTGAAGTCTTGCTCTTTGTTTATTGTTCTGATATTATAGTTTCTTAAAACTCACCCACCCTGGAAATTCTACAGATATATAAACCTCACTTGCTTAATTTCCAACAGACCCCAAGACCTCTGAGGATATTTATGTATTTATCATATCAGAAGCAAACCGAGGGTACAGTTGTAATGTATTTAAAAAGCACAAAGTTTAAAAACTTGGCATTATGTTAAATGTCTTTTGACCAGTAGCTGGCCACTCGGAGTGTCTCAGGTGTTGCTATAAGAAGGTCCTCCATTGTGCATGTGGCAGGGCTCAGGTTGCATTGTAATAGGTGGTCTGCTCTTCTCCACACACCTCTGAGGATGCCTGCCATAGATTTGGGCAAAATGTCAGGAGATAATGCTTCTGGAACATGGCTATTCAGCCTGGAAAACTCATAGCAACCCAATGATTGTGATGATTGTAGTGGTGATGATGATTGATAGAAGGAAGGAAGGAAAGAAAGAAAGAAAGGAGGTGGATGTGAATGACTTTGGTTCTGCTAACCCAGTTCCCTTTGCCAGATACAGTCAATGAACATAAGCTGGAAGAAGGGTGGTGGTGGAAGACGTCAATCAGTTGTAGAAAAGGGGGGAAAAAACCTTCAGGATTTCAATCGCTACTGTTTTGACTCAACTTTTTATGTGGGAAATAGGTTGACATAGGGGTAATGGTGCCTTCAATGATTGAAGTGGTGAAGGAGAAATTTGCCCACAATGAAGTTTTCCTGAGTGGACTCTTTGTGAACCCTGCATGCATTTTAAAAAAGGACATTACTGTGTGGAATTGTGTGAAAAGGTGTGAAATAATCTGCCTGCGAGATGCATGTCCAGCAGAAAGTGTACAAAGTAGGGACTGGGAAAGAAAGTCTGTGGAAATCTCAGACAAGAGAGCTCCTGCCACATAGAGCAGCTCAGCTTTCCCTGTGAAAAGACAATGGGGATTTTAAACAGGTGCTGTAGGTGTCTGCCCTTTTGTAAAGGCAGGGTTTTTGTCTTTTGTTCAGCTTGCTCAGCTTCCCTAAACTTAACCCAAGATCTGCTCGCTGAATCTTCTGCCACATATTTCACAGGAGAATGTACAAAGCAACACAACACTGCTGGCTGCAGTGGTTCAAAGGAAGGATGCTGAGAAGAACTGTTAGATGAAGTCAACAGTGTGTGTTTTGATTTAGCAAGACATACCTCAATTGAGTTTGAAAACCCTCAGGTATAAATACATAGCCCAGAATGTGCAACTTAACAGTGTTTTGTGGACACTATTGTTACATCTTGTACACAACACTAAAGCTTTTCTCTGGGCAACGGGGGTGGGGGTGGGGTGGGGGGGGTGTAAGAACACAATAAATGGTACCCAGTCTTTTCCCATTGTTCTAATGTGAAGGGTGGGCATGGCGTTTTCAAATGGGGTGGGATAAGGTGAGTGGAAGGGAATTGAAGGTTAATTCTTTGGTCCAGGATGTTTGATTTCATGGTTAGGTGGTGGGAGCAAACTTAGTCACAGCTCAAAGCTGGTGCTAAAAGCATTTAAGGTATCCATATCAAAGAGAGGCCTGCCTTGTAAACACAGAATGATATTGTATTACTTACAATTACTTCACGCAGTTATGGGCTGCATAAGTACCATGTCTCCCTCCTGCCACACCCCTAGCAACGGAGAAGGGGAAACCGAATCCTGGAAAATGCTGGGAATGGAGGAATATATCTTCACAAGTCATATAATGAATGTGTCATGTAATATGTCCCCGAGTTTCAGAAATTATAATACTGAAGTACAGTGCTGATATCTACATTGGAAATGGTTGTGCAACCTGAGAGCTTTGGGTTACACCAATGTACTTATTAGCCAGTGTTTAAAATTGTAGGTAGCAAGAAGGAATACAATTAAAGTGCTCAGTGGAAGTGACAGAGTGAATCACAGGAGCCAAGTGTTACCGAACGTAATTAATGTACCAGGCTGTTTAGAGATATAGGAAGCAAATGCAATTAACCAGCTTGGTAGAAGGACAGGAGCAAGGCATAATTCATTCAGGTTTTCTTCCATAGAGAGCAGAACTTGGGCCTCTCTCATTTAAATTTATCATTCTACTGTAAGGCAAACCAGTGAGCAAACTCTTTGGATTTTTCTAAGAAAAGATGAAGTGGATGTAACTAAAATACACATTATAAGTACTTCAAGAGAATTCTTTGATTAGACTATACTAATTTCATTGGATACAATCCTGACTGTGTGTACGATTGTTGTTGTGTGCCTTCAACTCCGATTTCTTATTTATGGTGACTCTAATGCAAATCTGTAATGGCTAGATGTATTCAGAGAGAGGCTTGCTTTTTAGGTTGATAGAGTATGTTTCCATAGTCATGGTGAGATTCAAATCTTGGTCTTAAGAGTAATCAGAGATGTAGTCCAACATTCAAACCACTACACCAGTGATGACAAATATGTGACCCTCCAGATTTTTTGGATGTCAGCTCTCAGAATTCCTGACCATTGGACAAGCTAGCTAGGGCCTCTGGGAGTTGGAGACCCAAACATCTGGAGGGACACAAATTTGATACCCCTGCACTGCATTATGTGTAGAATTACACACAACATTTTCCAGTTATTTTCAGCCTAAAACAAGCATGAAGGAAGTCTACATCTGTGTTTTTTGGCATAATGATGAAGTATGAATTACACTGACCACTTAGGTTGTGTGCAATTAGATTAGCCCTGTGGTGGCTACATGCTGCATGGGGCTAATCTGGTTTGACCCAGTGCAAGGCTGCCTTATCACAGTCTTTCACAAATTAGGTTCAGTTGAGGGAAGGCCTGAATCCTGACACTAACCAGAATTGGCCACAACTGTCTTGACTGCCATCCCATGCTCCCTTAGGTGGCCTAGGGGCATGGGATGTTTGTCCCCTGTCATTCTCCTGCGTATGTCACAGCTGTCTCCAACCACAACACACCAAACACACCACACAATGCACCAGGTGCTCTAGACAGCCATGACATGAAAGTGGTGAAAACCTTTAGGTGGCCCTCTCAGTTCTCTTCCTTCAATCTCCTTCTCTTGCAAATGAAAGCAAGGAAAGTCACACAGATACATCAACCAGTTAGGAAAGACAAAGAGAGACCAAAAGACAGAAATGCAGACAGACTGATAAAACAAAATGAGGAGAAATCATAGATGCATCATGCACTTTCTCTGAGCACATATACCACGTATACTTGTGTATAAGTAAAAAGCATGATAAGAAACCTCCCTCCCCACAAATAGCTGGGTCAACTATAGATGTGTCAGTCCTGGAATATAGACTCAGGGCCCATCCAGACAGGGCACAAAATGCACGCCCTCCTGTATGTTTCCCTGGGGTATCCAGATGACACCTCAGGTAATCGCGACTGCATTTGACTCAAAGCAGGAAGACCTGATTTGTCACAAATTAATTAGATAGCCCATTAAACACATGCATGTTTTTTTGAAATGCCCAAGTCTAATGGGCTATGGCCCTTTGTGGACAGGCCCATGGAGTGTCCTGGGACTTCCCTGTAGTCTGTCCAAATACGCATCCCACACCTTCTGGGCTCCCCTAGCTCAAAAGGTGTGAGACTTCCCAACCCCCCCCCCCAAGCCCTAAAATGGCCAAAAAAATTACCAGGCCTCCTTTAGGCCTCACAGCGCAGTTCCTGGAATGTAGCATTACACACAAGGAAGCAAGGGGAAGGCAAGAATAATTCCCTCCTCCCTCGCTTTCTCGCCAGGAAGTATGCAGCAAGGCCAAATAGTGGCCAGTAAGTTATTTTTTACTTTCCCCCCTGTTTCAAAGAGGTTTTGGGAGGGGCTGGGAGCTGTCTCCCTGTCCTCCTGGAAGACCCTGGAAGGACATCTGGACACCCAACCTAGAAACCATGCACTTTCCTGGGCATGTCTGGACTAGAACCCGGGAACATTTGTGCTTTTGTTCCTGGGTTAAACTGCTGTCTGGAACCACCCTAGGTGTGAAGTCAGTGACAAAATGCAGAAACAGGTAGCTCTAACATAGGCATGGTCAAACTTCAGCCCTCCAGTTGTTTTGGACTCCAACCCATACAATTCTTAACAGCCAGTAATCTGTTAGAAATTGTGGGAATTGAAGTCCAAAGCACCTGGAAGACCTAGGTTTGCCCATGCCTGCACTAACCCCATTACCTTTCCCTAGACCAAACCAGTGAAAGAAAGGCAGCCCTTCCTAGCTTCTCTACTTTCTTTTTCAGCCCATAGGATGTTCATTAGCAACATCAGTCCAAAGAATTTAGTGTGCCTGCCATTTTGGTTTCTTGAGTTCGAAAAGAGCAGCAAAGGCCATTTTTAATAAGGAACTCCTGTATAAATTTCTCCACAGAGATTGCAGAAGACAAATTTAATAGGGCTGCCCCTATAGAATGAGTTTTCTTTCAACAATAAATAAATAAATAAATAAATAAATAAATA